GTTGATCTTTAATTCAAATTTTTAATTTTTGTCAAATGTTATCCTACAACTTGTAAGCAAATATTTGTGTAATTACTCTATTCGATATAAATATTTTTACTTATGTCATTATTATCTTTTAATGCATAACAAACATTCATTACACCTTTCTTTGTTCAATTTAAGTCTAATTTTACAGCTTCAGTGGTTGGAGGGTACAAACTAGTGATATTTTTTCCATCCAAAGTTTCTCATTTATGTTGAAATTTTCAATTACATTTAACTGATCCACCGTAGGTGAAGCATAGAAAGTTAAAAACCATTGAACAAAAGGAATTACTCTCTTTTCCCTTTTTATAAAAATGTAAAACATTTCTTTATATTTGTTAAGATCTTTTTGGTACATGGTTTTAAAATACCAATTCCTAAATTCCTCATATTTAGGAATATAAAATTCTTTGTTTATTTCTTTTCTATTTATTTCAAATTCATTTAGTTTTAAATCCATAAAATTTATAGTTAGAATTTGGTTTCGAGTACAGTTGGGTCATGGTCTTCCTCTAAGGAAGATTCATTATCTTGCCTATAGATTCCATGTGGAATTTGATTACGCGAAGTGTGGAATATGATTACACAAAGTGTGGATTCCCTCAATTATGGGACCTTTTCCCCTGCTTCTATTAGGAATAGAAGAAGTGGACCTCCAACCATGAGTATTGTACACCGTCAGATGAAGTGCTTGATTTGTTAGAGATTTTTAATCCTGAAAATTTTCTCTTGCAAATATTATCAATCCTTCCACCGGAGATGATTGGGCGATCTGTGTTACTTCTTGATTTACTTTTGGTTTCGTAGGAACAATAGCTTCTAATTGCCATGTTTCTGAAAATTGAATTTTTGAACATTTAATGGTTTTAGGAATTTCAATTTTATTTTTTGTCATATTAGTTTCAATTAGAGTTGTTTGACCTTTGAGATTATGATGCGTAGCTTCTGGTGATAGAGTTTTCGTTACTTTATAATATACTCTTTAGGTAAAAATCATTATATCCATTCATTCTCTAAAATTATAACCATAAGTTTTAATATTACATGTTAAAACATATAATATATTCTTATTAGTTAAAGATACTGATAAATTTTGAAAATAGTTAAATTAAACTGGATTGCATAACTCCTATTATGGATTGGTCAAAAATCTAAACATCTAGCATTTCTTAAGGCTAACATAAAGAGACATTTAATCATTGAAGAGTTAATGGTTTTAAAGCTACTTGGACTAACCCAATATGTAAAAATTTATAACTTTCTTGTGCCTTTAAAACTTCACTTTTCTGTTAAGAGTTGTAGAGTACCCCCATGTTGATCAAAGGGAATAGTTCTTTCCAATGCTTTAATTGTTATACTTGATTTAAAATCAAAGGTTCAAATATTATATATCCCAGTTCTGTAATTTACTTTCAATATCTAAAAATTTGACTTATTCAAGATTCTTTACATAATATTCTTTATGTTTATTACCTAATTTAAATAGGCTTAATGTCATTTTGCTTTTCAAAAAAATTGTGTTGACATATATACGTTACTATTACCGTCAGGTTGCTACAATAATTCGTCTTTTAGTTATGCTACAGTAACTCTGCTATAGTGTTCTTCTTCCTCGTTCCTACTCTTGTTGTCAACAATTTACAAGGAACACAAACAACCTTGCTCCAATCTATCAGCAATGACCAAACATCCCACACACAACTTGGGTGCAGAACCATAGGAATAAGAAAGAAAAACTTTATAACAGAATTAGAGTAACAAATTCAAAATAACATTAGTATAGCAAAATAAAATCACAATTGCATAAACCACATGAGCTAGTAATAGATCAACATATAAATCAATAGAATGAATCTAAGCTATTATTGTCAACTTGACACTAATACCAACAATATATAGGACTGATAATCGGTATATACTTGAGATGATGCTGAGCAAAAGAGGAGAGTGGAGGGTCGCCATGATCTGTCAACTAGGGTTACTCCTCCTCGGGCTATGCCTCCTCTAGTCACCCCACCTTGGGGCACTCCTCCTCAACCCTAGGGCCAACCCTAGGACATTCCTCCGCACCAACAGGCGGGTCGGCAATGGGATCCCCAGGCTGTTACGAGGAAAGGTGTAAAATTCAGTAAATTTAAATTTTTGTAGATAAGGGCAAAATGGTAATTTTATCGTTACAGTACGGGTTGAAAACTTAAATTTTTCTAGATCTTGGATGACAAAACAGACCTGACCATTGGATTCGTCTCACGAAATGTAGTTATCACGCCAAATTTCATCGAATTCCGAGATAGTCGGATTTTTTGCGTTTTACAAGGTAGTCGAGTCTCGGGTGACCCAAAAATGGGATTTTCAATAAAATTTTGAAAGTTGGAAAATAATTAAAGGCAAATTAAAATAAAATTAATTTGAACTTGAAACGGGATAAAATTTAATCATTTTAGGATGAAAGCGGACCCGAAAACAAAAGGGTTGTGTGGCGCGTTGTGGATCAAGTATTCTAAGAGTATAAATGGGGGGAAAAATCATATTTTCCCCCATTTCTTTGGCCGGCCATTAACGTTGAGAGAAAGAGAGGGAAAATGATGAAAAACTCTACATTCTCTCTACGATCTAAAAGGCAACGGTGCTTAAATCCACTCGGGGCAAGAACAAACATCGGTCTCCTCGTCAAGGGCTATACGACCACACCAAAAATGAGGATTTTCACCGAAGGTTGAAAAATGGGATTTTGGGAGGAGAAGATTGTAATTAGGAGCGGGTTATTGGGGACTTTCTATGGTTGTTCTTCACGCTTCAAGAGGTAGGGTTCCTTCCTACTCGAGTTTATTTACAACCTAGGGTGTAGTATGTAATGGGTATGTTGATAAATAGATTTTATCATTACCTATGTTGTGGGAATTGATGAAATGGGTATTGAAATTGGGTGAAATGAAATTTTGCCTTGAAATGGGTTGTGAATTAGACTCAATGTAATCCATAGAATTTGGGGGTTGTGTGGGCATATTATGTGTTTATTGTATGCCTTGAGAATTAAGTATGTTGTTAGCATATGTTATGTAATAACATGCTTGTGAATTGTTGTTGAAAGTGAAATGTGAATGTATGTTCATTGGTATATAGCATTATGAGAAAGTTTGGTAATTTTATGCTCCGGATATAAATTGCTTGGGAACTTGTTTGAATGTAGTTAATTTTGCTCATATGACATTCATTACATGTGGGCATGATGTTGAAATAGCAATGATGCATTACATTGCATATACACGTAGACATCACATTTTATGGGTGTGGGTGCATGGTTGGCATCAAACACCATGTAGGTGGATGATGGGTGGGTTTGGGGAAGTCAGATTGAATATCCGACTGAGTCACACGGTTGCATGAAAAAGAATTGGGTCGAGGTAGCAAGAAGGGCTAGACTATCCCTCGGGTGAGAGACCTGGTATTTGGATACACACTTTCGTTGGTATTAAAGCCCATAAAGTGTATCGGTGTACACAAAACCGTTGGTGGAAGTCCATAAATTCCGTGTCGATTGGGTGACCGTTGGTGTAAGTCCATAAATACCTACCCCAAGAAAGACTCGGAGATTTTTTGTTAGCCATTGGGTGTGTAGCATAAACGGCGGGGGCTTGAAAAACCCAATTTTGATACTCACTGTATAGAATGGGGTGAAGGTAAATAGTCGGAGCTAGAAAAGCTCAGTTTTATACACATTGACATTGCATGTGTTGTGGAGCCGAGAAGGGCTCGGGTAAATTGCATGAATGGGCATCATTTCAATTCATGGCATGGTATGTTAGATTTCAACCTTGACTTGCTTAAGTGTTGGTTGGAATGATTGTTATTGCTAAATGTTGCATGTGAATATTGCACTTAGGTTGGGGGGTAGCCCTTATAAGAAATACTCTACTGGGCGTTGACTCAGCCTATATGGGAAACATTTCAGGTACGGGACATATTTCGGTGGATGACACACATTCGGGGCCTCAAAGGTGAAGAAGAGTCGGGTTGTGGCTCTTGAACTAAGTTTATGTAAAACTTTTAGTTTAAATTCCATTTTGGCATATAAATTGTATGGAATGAGTTGTAATAGACTTGTATGAATCATGTACAATGTAGAAAATTATATTGTACATGTTGGGAATGAGTTTGGAAGTGTTTTGCATGGATTGGAAATGAAAAATAGGCGAAACAGACAATTCTGGGCAAAACCTTCCGGAAGGTTGAAACAAACCTTCTGGAAGGTTTGGACAAAGACAAGGAAATACTGGGACAGTGGGTGAAACCTTTCGGAAGGTCTTCACATTTTTCTAAAAGGAGGGAATCCCGTGTGTAAAACCTTTTGGAAGGTTTAATACATCTTCCGGAAGGTTAACACATTTTTTTTAAGAAAGGATTCCAGTAAGCAAAATCTTCCTCAAGGTTGGGGAAACCTCTGGAAGGACTATGATAACCTTCCGAAAGGTTTTTCAAAAATCTAAAATTTTAAGAATGCATTGCCATGGTTTTGGGCTATGTGTTCTTTGGTTCCAATGACACAAATGAACCTTAAATGAGATACATTGGGGTATGTTGAACCTCGATGGGATTAAATAAATTAAAGAAAACACGAATCCTCGTTTGAGTTGTAATCCCGGTTACAGGAATGTGATAGACGTGATGTCAAGTTATGCGACAATCACAGGTATTTTCGCGGGTTGACGGGTGGTCAACGGGACCCCTGATTGTAGGGGCATCACAAAAGGAAAGGTGGTGATGACATCTGACTCCCTTGGCTCCTTGGATGTCTCTTATGCTATCTGCGGCGCCTTGCTCTTCGACACTGACATGGTGCAACACCAAGATTACTCTGACAACAGCTCGTTGCAGAGCGTGATCCAAAACTCGTTGGTGATGAGTGTCTTAATCCTTCTCAAAATTTTCTCTTCCATTCCTAACTCTTCACTTTTTTTTAGTCGACGCAACAAATGTCCATCATCGTCGATCGGCTTTGGGCCTATTGCTTAGCGAGTAATAAGGCCACTAAGGAGTGCGAGCAGCTGAAAGAGGAAGTCAGCTCTCAGGATAAGACCCTTTTTCCCTAACCCCAAAAGCTTACCTAACTCTTGTAGGAGGGCGTGAGTTATAGAGTCAAGTGGATAAAAGTAAGGCGTTATTCAGTGATGCCAAAAAAAGGACGTTTGAGGTCGAGTTAAAAGTATCTGCTGCGAAGGCCAAACTTGCTTAGACTAAGGCGAATTGTGTTACCTTGACTGAGTAGGTGAAAAATCTGACAGCCGTGTAAACCCCACACTTTTATCTTTATATATAAATATATCTACAGCAAGTAATTAATTCTTTTGAAATGTGAACGTGGTAAAACTCAAGTGAATAGTAGTTAAAACTTAGTTTTAGCTTGTAAATATAGGAAATTGTTTGCAATCGAACTTATACCAACTATGTTTGATGTACAAACGTATGTTGTGTAAGTTTAGGTTGGCTTTGGAAAGGTTAGAAATGGATTGAAAATCAAAAATAGGTGAAACTGGACAGAAGCAGGCAAAGCATACCGGTATGGCGCTGTCCAGAGAGCATACCGTAACAGTATGTGTACCGGTACGCCCGATAGATTCCAAATATTTTAAGTCGTGATCTGGGTCCGCTTCTTTCCACTATAAATACTTAAGGACAACTCTTTTAGCCCCATTTCAACATCTCTAACCCTAGAAAACCTTAGAGAGGAAGAAAGGAAGAGAAAAACACAAGATCAAAGTGGATTTACACTTCAAGAAGATCAAAACCCTAGCTTTTTCAAGAACACCAAGGTAGCGGTTTCTTTCTATTCTCTTACATTAAGGCTAGGGCTTATCTATATGTATTCTTTTGACTTTAAATCTTATATCTCTGCTATGAAATCATGATTCCTTGAGATTTGTGCAATCATTACCATGTTTTTAAACAAAGCTATGATTATATAACCATGAGATTTCTTTTCTTGGCATAAAACCCTAATTTTTAAAATAAATTGATTTTTCTCTTGGTTCCTCCTTTGTTCTTGACTTTGAAATCGTAGTACTTTGTGTTGAGTAACAAAATGATGTTGTGATGATCTCTTGGTTATTTTCTTAAATTGTTCTCTTGTATTACAAATTGTGAGAATTGAGAATTTTGGATTTCCTTGTACTTTAAAGAAAATGTTTGTTATTGCATCTCTTGTATGGTTGTTGTGATGGACTTGAATTACATTCGAGCACTGCCATAGAGTGTTAGAAGTTAGTCTATCCCAGTGGGGGTGAGATGGTTTCCTAACATTTGTAGTGGTTTGTTGTTTGTGAGAGCAACCACTATTGTTCACGTAAGTTCAAGGAGAAGGGATGGTATACCTTTCCTGGGAAGGATTCTTCAATGTCGTGGGAGATGGTATACGCCATTTCTAAAGTGGTTTGTGTGACTGTGGTGGGTGAATGAGATAGAATGGGGGTGTAGATTCATGGGAAGCAACCAACATACATGAGTATAATGGATGACACTATTGAATGATTATTGTTATTGTGTGGAATTGGTTTCCTACAAGAGCTTGTGGAGGTATGGGACTTTATAAGAGCTTGTGGAGGTATGAGACTCTACAAGAACTTGTGGGAAATGGTTGATGGTTAGAAATGTTTTATTGTTAGAAAATTCATTTTTACTGTTCATTTAAATTATTGTTATTGAATAAACTTGAGATCCGTTAAAATGTCCCGTTCTCTAAACCTTGTTCACAAATTGGGAGAATGTTGCTACAGAGCTTAGTGCTCACCCCTTACAAACTATATATTTTTCAGATTGTGGTCTAGACGGAGAGCTCAGAGTTGAGGAGCCGACATATTAGGAAGCTCCACCAGATGGGCTCGTGGATTCGGAGGTGGACGTCTAGAGTTGATTCCTCCATGTTGTAGATTAGGGGATATATTTTGGGACATTCATAGATGTCTCTTTATTTATTCCGCTGCGAAAAAATAGTAGATTCTTTTGGGATGTAATGGCCATGGTTGACCTATTCTTTTGGGATGATATTGTAAATGTTATATTTGATGAATGAAATGTTCTTTAATGATGAATTTATTTAGTTGCTCTCATGATGTGAATGGTTGTTAGATTGTATTGCCGTCCAAGGTGGCTTTTGGGGCGTTACAAGCCGAGGCTGAGGCGAGATTGAAGACCAAAGAAGAAATCATTCGAGAGCGTAAAAATGGCGTGATGGTCGCTTTCAAGGTTGAAGACTTTCAAAGGAGAATGGGACGCCGCTCTTGCTTTTGCGGGGGTTGCACTTGATTCTCCTCAACAACATAGGTACACACCTTCCCTCATGGTGGTAGAGGTAGAGGAGTCTTTAGAAACCCCTCCTGCTCTTCCCCAGGTCAATATCCCCCATCCCAAGGTTCCTCTTATTCCTTCGGCTCCATCCGCACTTGCAGCTCCTCTTGCCCCCACAATTGATAGCCTTTTGATTGACATGGATGCGCTCCTCGAGGATGATAGTGTTCTGACTGCCTTCTCTTGTCCCTGTCATAGCAAAACTTTACTTTGCTTTTTTCTTCCTTTTTTTTCTTTTCTTTTTCGGGGTCTTTAGTCCCCTTCCTTTGTTTTGCCTAAGGGACACAAAACCAATTTAATGAATTGCGCTTTTCTAACATCTTTTCCTTTTTACACTTATTCTTTATTATTGGGGTCCACCTCCTCTGTGGGGATGGCCTTTGTAAATCCATTCACCATTTGGTACTTGCTTCATAATCATTAGGAAGACTTGTATTTCAAAAGTAATACTTTTTGGGATTAGTTATATTCTAAGGTCTAGATACAATAACGCGATCTAAGTCTTTCGATGTGTAAGATCTGGATCCCTCGACCGCTTCCTAATTGGGTCCAAGCTTCTCGTCGGTTGGCTCTCAAGTATTTCCAACGACCTTCCTAAGTACAAGGTTACCCACCTAGAAGTCTCGAGGGCGGACCCTTTTGTTGTGATTTTGGGCAATCTCCCCCTAATAACTTGCGAGTCAATAGGCACCATTTCCTTCATTTCTTCAACTAGATCGAGATCTCTGCTTATTTGCTGATTGTTCATTCCTGTGTTGAAGGTCTGTGTCCTTATGGACTATAGTCCAACTTCGAGTGATATTACTACTTCCATCCCGTAGGCCAAAAAGTAAAGGGTCTCTTTTGTGGAAGATTAAGGGTTGTTTGATATGCCCATAGGATGTTAAGTAGTTCCTTGGTCCACTTTCCCTTTGCCTTCTCCAGCCTCTTCTTGAGTCCTGCTACTATCGTCTTGTTAGAAGCCTCGGCTTACCCATTGCATTGTCAGTAGGCAAGCGTAGAGTAGTAATTTCTTAGACATAACTTTTCACAGAACGCTTTGAAGGGTCCACTATTAAACTGGGTCCCGTTGTTGGAGATTATAGCTCGAGACCTGCCAAACTACGTCACTATATTTCTCCATACGAACTTCTTAGTGTTGATTTCTCGAAAGTGGGGCAACGATTTGACTTTAAACCATTTTGTGAAGTAATCCATGCCTAAGAGGAGGAACCTCTTGTTGGTCGGCGCTTTGGGCAAGGGACCGACTATATCTAGACCCCACTGGGCGAATGGACAAGGACTTGATAATGGGCTTAGGTCCTAGACTGGTTACCTGTTGATAGGTGCGTTTCTTTGGCACTTTTCGCATTTCTGAACATACTCCCATGCATCATTTTGCATATATGGCCACCAATATCCTTGTGACATAGCCCGATGGGTCATTGACCTATCACCTATGTTTCCTCCACATATGCCTTTGTAAATTTCATGTACTAAATAAAGGTTGAACTTTGTCTTCGGACACTGATTACTCCCAAAGAATAACGCGGTAGTTGTAGCACAACTTTGGGGTATCAATTCCACTAAGAGACAAATTAAAGGAATAGTAGAAGGAACAAAGGAACTAAAGAAAAATATTAAATGATTACTAGAGAACAAAAATTAATTTTAAATGTAACTTAAAGTGAAGCAAAGTGACTAACGGAATAAAATATTCAAATTTGACAAACAGTAAAGCGTAGGAAATCCCTTGCACAAATCCGATATTTTAATTATTCTTAATTCATTGAATAACTCAATTGGGAATTCAATTCCCAAAATTTCCAATCGGAAGGTATAGATTTATAAACCAAGACTAAACCAAATGTAACAATTTGAAAATACGTAAATTATTATCACTATTGAGAAAGTCCAACGACAACAATATACTCAAGAAGAAATATCGTAGCAAAGAATTAAATCAATATAGATAAACAATTGATCCAAACATAACCAAAGAGCTAATCCATTCAATATAAAAAGCTTGACTAAATCCATAAATAGAATAAATTATATGACTATTCGGAGAAGAAAACAACAACAATAAATTGCGAATGATAAAACAAAAGAGTTTTACTAATTAGAAATCAAATTCATAAATTAAAAATAAATAAAATATCATTTACTGTGCAAGTTCATCCCTCACCCTACCTGAGAATTTAGTTACCCATAAATATAATGGACAACAAAAATCTCCCAAAAAATGATTTTTGAAATG